ATTTTTTCCTCTTTCCTCTTCTTCCGAAAGAACTCCCTCTTCCCCGTCCACACACACCTTTTTCCAAAAGAGCTCTTTCACAAAAAGGCTTCTTCCTTATAAAATGCGGATTACCAGTGTCGGAAAAACCCCCTCTGTTCTTTCGATTTTCTTGAGGAAGAATGCAATAGCAGTGTGGATGTTCCTCAGGTTTTGTCGGAAAAATGGCCATTTTTCTGACAAAACTCTGTAGTGTAGACATACCCATGCAGGTGATGCATCATGGGAGAGCCAGAGAGCCTGGTTCAAAGAGGAAACTAGGAGCTTGAGGCATCTGGACTACAGCTCCCATGAGGTACTCTTGCCCCCGGCTCCCAGTGACGGGGGTGGGGCCCTTTCCAGTGGGAGCTTTCCCTGGGATGTGCCTTTCCATGAAGGAAGGACAGAGGTAACACTTGCCTCAGTCACCTAAGCCCTGGCAATGCAGGGGTCACAGGAAAGGGTGGGACAAAGGAACCTCAGGAACTTAGATGCCCCAGGCCCCGGAACCCTGAGAACTTTTTCTTCTCATTCACTTTGATCACAGGCAGTTTGTTGATGTAACTCTCAGAGAGTCTGAGCTGGGATTTGTCCATCCCTGCCACCAATATTCACATTTCCTCTCGGCCCCACATTTCTCCCCCATGTACAGGTGACTGTGGCAACCCCAATGCTCTACAAAAGCTCTTACATTGAATCTGATTTTCTGGATTGTTGCTGGTGTCATGCTGGACTCGTTCCCTGTGGGGAGAAGCAAGGACAGAGCATATCAGTGATGCTGCGCGCTCTCTGTGTGTCACTTTGGTGATACTGAGCCTGTTTTCAGAGATTCAGCTCTGCAGATTTCTTACCATGACTGGTTCTCTTACATCCTTACATCTCAATTCAGCTCACACTCAGCAAACAGGCAGGGAGCCCTAATTCTGAATAACCAGGGATAATCTGGATAAAAAAAAAGCTTCACCTTTCACAGAGAGGAAGTCTAATAAAGATGAGACTTGACCATTGTACTCTGCTTCCACAAATTGGCCACTAGGTCAGTAGAGAGCTAAGACTGGAGGGAACTGTAAATCCCTGACCTCTTAGGACGGAAGGTGATGAGAACCCCACAGCTTTCACACAGTGTAAACCAGGTGACAATTTTCAACAAGTTTGCTTTCCGTGAACAGTATTTTTGCCAAAGTGAGTTGACTGGCCAAAACTGTGTTTTTTTTAATGGACATTTTGTTTTGTTTCTCTTTGATTTTTTTGTCAAATTCCTCCCACATTTTCTGTAAAAAATTAGACCTTTTTTTTATTTGAAAAATTTTCACCCAAATAAAACTGGATATTTGGCCCAGGCCTGCTCAGAAGGCAGAGGTTGAATGCTTATCCTTAAGGGTCAACTTTAATGTCTTTGCATAATGTGGAAATGAAGTTTCAGAGCCTCCTTTCTGTGCAGTCTGCCAACTGGCTCCCCTGTCCCAGGAAGGGCGGGTGGGGGGTGTTTGGGGGCAGAGCCTGGTCATATGGGAGGAGCGGGAAAGGAAGGAATGTTTGGGGAGAGGCGGCTGCAGTCAGGGTGCATTTACAGAGCAGCGCTAGCTCAAAAAAGCTACGTAATTTCAACTAGGCATGTTGCATAGTTCTGAGATTTGAGATTCGGCACTGTCTATGCAGCATCAAATTTTGAAATAGACCATTATGCCAACAAGTCCCTTAATCCTTGTGGTACAAGGTTTACTGGGACATCAGAGTAGAGCACCTATTATTTCAATTGCATTTTGAAATCACAGGCATGCCGTTAAGATGTGGAAAATGCTATTTTGGGAGACCGGAATATCTTGAAATAGCGCTGCTGTCTAGACATACCCTTAGAGCCCTAGAGGTGGGGGACACACAGAACTGGAAGTTGGGGTGTGGGCTCCAAGCACTGAGGGTCTCTGTTGTGTCACCCCTAATCCCATCAGTTTTATTGGCAAAGTTGCTGCAGTGGGAGCCCAGGCTGGGCCAGACACTGACAGAACCTGGAAACTGACTCTAGTCTCCCCACATGCCTGTCCCTCTCTGTGCCCAGCTGGTCACCCCATGGACTCCCACTGGTTCCTTCTGCCCCGCTTCAGGGCTCAGAATGAGCAAATGGGCCTTGGGGTCGGCAGTGAGCCTGGAGAGCTGCGGAAGGGACAGAGAGGGAGGCAGCAGCAGTTGTGGGGAGCCTGGTGCTGCTGCAGAGCCGGGGCAGTGACTCTCAGGGACTCTCTGCAGGGTCTCTGTGCATGGGGCGAGGGGGGCAGATAGCGAGCCAGGAGCACTTGGAAGTTACTCACACTACAGTGTGCTCTGAGTGCCCATGGGACCCCCTGCTGCCCGGCTTTCCTGAGGAGGTGTGTGTATGGGGGCGGGCCCAGGCTGGCTTCCTTCACAAAGACTCAAAAGCTGCCTCCGATGGAGCTACCGTTGGATGTTACCCCGGCAGCTAGATGGGCTGGAGACCCTTGGTTCTCAGCCAGGCTTGGCCACTCCCAGTCCCGCCCCAGAACAGATCTGGTTCTAGGGGACTGGCTGGGTCGGTCGGTGCCTCTTTGTGGCTGATCAGCCTTGACACCCCCTGAGTGTAAAACAGGGTCACTTTCCTTCTTTCAGCCATTCCACGGCGATTTTCAAACACACTCGCTCTGCAGCCCGTGAATTGGACAGGAGCACAGCACTGTGACAACCCCCTTCTGTAAAGCCCACGGCCTTTCCAAAACTCCTCCAGAACAAACAGACTCAACCCCCCGCAGCAGGAGAGCTGAGCTCTGCTTGGACTCTAGGGTGGCTGCTGGCCCTCATTTGAGGCAGAGAGACCAGACGCAGGAAGGAAACGAGGGAGAAGGAACAGTCTCCTCCTACCTTTGGTCTCTTCGCAGAGACACAACTGGAAACAGCGAGACAGAGTGATCAGAGACAGGGCCACGTTTCCTCATAGGCAGAGAGAGAGAGAGAGAGACAGAAACTGAACAACACAGCCTCAGTTCCTCATCATCTTGACAGAGCCTCTTCCCCATGGCCCAGCCCAGCGCTCTCCTCCACCAGCCCCCCAACTGCCACTGGGTCTGGTATGACCACGTCTAATGACAGTAGAGTCAGTCACATGGCGTTTCATGTTCTACATAAACTCCAAGGTCTGAGAGTCAGGGATTTAGCAAGAATTTCATTATGAAAAAGCAGAAGTAAGTTTATAACCCTTCTGTTTGAGGTGAAAACCCTGAAAATATCACCCAAAGACCTCCAAAGATCGCATCCCCCAGGCAAATACAAAGAATCTATGAAAGCTCATGACACTATCCAGATTTTTAGTTAGTCTCTAAGGCGTTCCAGGACCATTCATTGTTTTTAAAGTTTCTTTCAGTTACAGGCTAACACGGCTACACTTCTGACACTCTACACGGGTGACTTGTTGGCAATCCCATGACTTTTGAGCCAGTCTCGAACTGGTCGGGGTGACTGGAGGCTGTGAGAGCTGGGGGCTGGGGCGCTGTGAGGAAAGGCTGCAGGGCAGAGCTGTGCCCAGGGCTCTGTGCTCAGAGTTGTTAGACCCTGCTGCAGTCCTGATTCAAGAATCATTTTACACACGGGCACAGGGGCCCTTCCTGACTAGGGGATGCCTCCCTGACCTGCAGCCTCAGTGACCTGCGTGTTGCTATTCTATCCAGACACACGCCCCGGCTGAGCCCGAGATTGTGACTATCTATGTGGCAGGGACTGGCCCCTTCATTACTAGTCTGTGCAGCACTGGATGCAGAGGGGTCCTGATCCCTGAGTGGGACTACAGGGCTCTACAGTAACAAACCTACTAAATAATGTACAGCACCTAGCACAGTGGGGCTCTGATCTCTGACTGGGGCTCCAGAGTGGTCCTAATTAATCATAGGACAATCCCTTTCATCATCTCTTTGATCTTTGCCTCCAACCAGCTTCCCAAAACCATGTGATCCATTTCACTGCATCTTTGCTGTTTTCTCTCCTCCATCCTAGGCACACAGGGGACAGAGGATCTCAGGGGGGGTGTCTGCCACGTCTGTCTGTAAATTTGCTAACATGGCTCGGCCTCACTCTCATACCCACCTTTCCTTCCCAGCAGATAAAGCACCACAGCCAGCACCACGGCAGCAGCAGGGACTGTAATTCCCAACAGGAGCTTTCGACCCATCCCTAGAAAAGAACCTCGCTGTGAACGGCCCCTCTCCAAGCATCCACCAACTAGTCCCCACTGGCTAGAGCTGGCTGAGTCCTGTGGTAAGTGACCCTAGTGTGTTCATGAACAAACTCCAAGATTCATCTCGATCTGTTCTTTCCCACAGTTTGTTCTTTGAGGAGGGTTTTTTTGTTTTTTGTTTTTTTGCCAATCTTTGTTTTCCTGTCGACAAGACCCTTCAGTCTTTCAGAACTGAAATGTGGCTGATTTTTTGTTTCATGTAAAATCTGAAATTTTGACTCTCCATCCAGATTCAGGACGGAAATAAAATGTGGAAGGTCAGAATGTCTCTCAGGACAGAAATCCCGAGTCCCCACGTGCTCTTGAGGCCCAGACAGCATTAGGGTCGCTCTGGCAAGAGTTACTAAGAGGTGCAGATATGCAGAGCCTATATTGCTCAGCAATGCTGGGCAAAGCCTGAGAGAGCTGCAGGGAGAGAGAGCGCCGCATTGGACACGCACAGCTCTTGTGTGTTTCCCCACATCCATCCTCAGGGCCATCACACTCAGACAGGGGCTGTCCAGCCAGGACCCACTCTTCCCTAACTAGAGACCCCACAACAGAGAAGCGCTTCAGAAGCATTTACCTGGGGGAGAGGGAATCCTGGCACCACTGCTGGAGTCATCACCTAGGCAACAAACACACCCAGATCAGAGCAGGCCGTGGTCCAGTCCAGGCCCCTATGTTGCTCTACCACAACTGACCACGGGCAGTCACTGGCTGGGGACAGGGATGCTGAAAGACTCTGGACTCTGGGTAGGTCACAAAGTGGATCTGAGTCAACCAGGTGAGTGTGTGTAAGACAGGGGAGGTGTCTGTGCTGCTTTCTTCAGCACTGATGAGGCCTCAGCTGCAGCACAGGGGCCAGTTCTGGGGGTGGCACTTTAGCAAAAAGGGGGAGAAGCTGGGGAGGGTTCAGAGGGGAGCAATAACGCTGAGCAAAGGTTAGTCAATCTGAGCTGGGCGGAGAGGTTAGGAGCACTGGGGCTTGTTTAGAGTTGAGAACAGGAGCCTGAGGGGGCACCTGGGAACGGTCTCTAGGGGTCAGTTGCTCTCAGTGCTCTCTGGGGGTAGGAGAAGCAGGAACCAGCGTAATGTGCAGCAAGGCAGGATGAGGTGAGATCGTGGGGAAAGTTTTCTAGCTCTGAGCTGTGGAATCCCTGCAGAGGCTTAAGAGCCGGTTAGAGAAGCCCTTGTTAGGAAAGGTCCAGACAACACTTGGGGCTGCCCCGAGCGCAGGGGACTGGAGCTACGAGTCTGTGGGTCCAATGGGCGAGTGAAGCCCTGAACAGGCTGTGGAATCCCTGTCACTGGGGTTGATTAAAACAGAAGGGAAAATCCCCTGGCAGGGATGGGCCAGGGGTACTTGGTCCTGCCTCAGGTCAGAGGACTGGGCCCAAGGGCATCCCATGGTCCCTTCAAGTGAGATTTTTCCATGAGGTCCCCTCACCCAGAGATGTCCCGTCCATAGGATGGTTCAGGTTTGGGATGCTCCACAGTGGCTGCCTCAATCATCCTGTGGACAGGCCGCCATGGGAAGGCAGCAGGGATCACCCTGCCCCCACCCTCTGCACTCACCCTGGAGGTGGGAGCTGGAGCGGCCCAGCAGCCTGCTCTGCCCCTGCCCTGCTGCCGTGTCCCAGCCTGATGCACTCGGCTTCTCTGCAGCACAGGGGAGCAGGGTGCCCTGGCCCCAGGGTCTCTGCTTTCCGCTGCCATAGAGAATCGAAGCTCAGTGTGCTGGGAGGGCGGCACGACTCGGTGGAGTGGAACCGGCTGTCGAGCGGCTCCAGCTCCCACCCCTAAGATTAAACTGGGGGCCGGCGTGGGACAGCCCTCCTGCATGTGTCACGCTGGCCAGGGGATAAGAGGGTAGCATGGGGGGGGGGCTACCCTTAACCCTGTGCCTGTGGTGTTGTGTTTGTGTGGGGGGGGTGTTTGACTCAGGCCCTGCATCCACCCAAGGTTGGCCCTACCCTCCTCTCCTCTTTGTGTCAGGCCATTGGAGGTGATCTGGGTAAAACTGGAGGGGCCTGACTCTCTGGGTCTACATTTGAACTAAACTGTTTTGTTAGAACAATTTTGTTTCTGATTTTGATACATTTCAGCGTTTGCATTTTTCGGGCTCTGGTTATTGAATTGTTGCCTCACCCTGCCATTCACCCCCATCTCTATGTTGTGGGATGCTGAGTTGCTGAATGGAGCTGAGCTACACCACAGATAGACAGACAGACACACACACACCCCTTACCAGTGACGCTGAGGTACTTGGCAGGGCTGAGCTGGGATCTGTTCACCTGGTTGTTGTTGCCCTTGATCTCGTACCTGCAGGAGTAATTCCCAGAGCTGCCCCCGGACACCTTATCGTCATGGCTGTAGACAGTCTTCTCCAAACCCTTCTGGGATGAAACCTCCACCCCGTCCTTGAAGAAGACGATGCG